TTTTGTCTCTTAGAGTGTGATTGGTTGGGCTGTATCTTTGTGGTACAGCTCAAAAAAATCTTAAAGCCCTAATATTAAACCAATCAAGCTTTAGCTTTCCTAAAAATTCTCACAGCCCAAAACAACTTTTTTTAGTTTTTTTTTTGCTCTAACTCTAAAAATTTATACAGCATATTTTTTTGTGCTTTAAAAGCTGTAGGCATTTTTTCTCCTATATTTAATTTTTTTCTATATATTAGTACATGATAATTTAAACACAAGAAAAAATAATCTATATACAATATTTTTACTAAAGTGACGGAAAATTATATAAATTATATATGTATATATATATATGTATATATTTCATTTCATTAGTATAAAATTTTAAATTTTAATATATATTTTTAACAAAAATTGTTTAATGTATTTTGAATATATGAAACTTACTATTTATTATATATGTTTCATCTGTTATCGTATGTAATATAATACAAATTTTTAAAATTCATATACTTAAATTTTAAATCTATAATATTGAACTAACTTTACCAATCATGCTTTACTATTAAAATACCTACATAAAAAAAAAAAACTACAGCTACAGCTAACACAGATACAGCAAAAACTCTACATCAAAAAATTTACAGCTACAACTCAACCAATCACCCACTTAGTCAATAGCAATTAATGTCTTGTTTATTTAATTATTTTGATTAAAGAAATATAGACATTAATGTGTTATATTAATGTGAAAAATTTAAAGACATTGTATAAACATCCTTTCAATTCTTTTTTTTTCTCCACAGCTCTTGTGTTTTGTGTTTGTATAAGCATATATTTTTCTTGGATAATAAATTTGACATCTTATATCAATATATAAAAATGAATAATCTTTAGTAAAAAAAAAATTGAAACAAAAAGCAAAATATTTATCATTGGATATTAAGTTGATAAATATAACAATTTCTACTTACAACATAAATTCAACTAAAACTTTCAAAATAACATCAGTTCGTACAATATAATAAAAGTAAAATTTTTAAAATAACATTATCAAAAATAGTTTTTTTTTTTTAAGAATGTAAAATTATATTTAGACAAGAAAAAGACTTTGTTGCAATATATGCTTCATAGTGAGCTGAGTTTTAGAGATGATGATTTGAAAAAAAAAACACAAAAGATTATAGATAAGTTTGGAACCAGAATTGGATCCCTCCTTCAAACCCACTTTGGTGTCGGAGAAGGCTGAGCTTATTCCAGATGTTTTTATCAATGAAACGACTTAGATTTGCAGCCGAATTTTCTGGTTCACCATGACGTCGACCGTTTCTTTCCCTCCAAAAACTGTTTCTTTGTTGTCTATCAAAAATAGTTTACTATAAAATAGACCATCGATATTTTCTCTCTTGTTGACTTTTTGCTACCACATTTCCTTTCCATTTTTAGGTTTCTCTCTAATTTACTAAAAATAATATATCTATTTTTAGTGTGTTAAACATATTTAATAAGATTACAAGTTTTTGCAAGTAAGATACCAAATTTTTTATCACATTTTTCAATCATGAGACAAACTACTTCAATTATAGTTTTACGTTTTTTTATAATAATCCTCCTTACCAACCTTGTTCAAGGTAATAATTTTTTTTCAATAGATTTTAACACTTCGTTCCTAAAATATGTAATGTTGATTATTTCTTTAAGAAATGGTGGTTTTTCAAAAACAAAATTTTTTTATATTTTTGTAGTATTCAATGTTTACTTTGAAGGCTAAAGACTTTTTCTAAAAAGTCTTCTCTTTTTATATTATGAACAGGAGGATTGATTAGAATATGTGACCATAAGGTGGAGGGTTATGGAACATGTGGGCCTAACGGACGTAAGATATGTATAGGCGAATTTTGGAAAAATCCCCCTTCTCCCGGATTACAAAAGAACTTGGAGGGTTGCACATGTGAAGACCGTGGTAAGAGGCCAAAATTCAAGGGGCTATCTCATTCATGTAAGTGTTGTTGGAGTTATTGGGGTCCTCCGGATGAATGAAGAATTCGTTGTTAACTTTGTTGTTGACTTGGTGAATAAGGCGAAGTTGTAAGAACTGAGGCACATTTGATTAGTTTGCTTTGTTTAAATTGAAAACCAAAGAATTTTTATATATTTAAATTTATGTGACATTAATCCATCTTGATTTATAATTTAAGGCAATATACATGTATGTATGATCATCAACATATTAATGCATCAAATTTTTTTTAAATAAATTATAGTTTTCAACAAATAACTCTTTTTATTAGATACGAAATACATTTACTTGTATCATTATAATTTCAATCACTGCGGTGGAGGTACTCGACCACTACGATATTTGGAAAAACGGATATCAACTGTATTCATAACGTGAAATCCATAATCGCACTTATCACGGCTTTTGTCGCAATATGCTACATCACATAGGCAGTTTTTTCTACATTCTTCATCTGTCGAACAAGAATCTTCATACGCAAGAGTGTGTCCTTAAAACACACCAAAAGATACGAAAAATTATCTTAAATACAAAGATCTTAGAAAGAAAAGAATTAGCTAGAAAATGATATTTGAATATAAAGTTTGTTTTAAAAAATTTCAGACTCGATCCTTTTATCAAATGGTTTTTTTAACAAAGATTACTTTCAATTATTTGTTAAGAGATATGTAAAATTTTATTGGCTTGTATGAAAATGTTACAATTGGTAAGGTAAGTATACTTACGAAAAACGACGATAAGAAGAGAAACCAATAACAACAGTTTAAATGAAATGCTTTTCATTCTCCCAGTTCAAATTTTTCTTTTTTTTTTTTTTTCTGCTTTTGATGGTGAAATTATGCATACCTTTCGTCTCTTTTTATAGTCTAGTTTAGGTGATGGTTTGAGCAAAAAATCTTACAGAATTTATTTGTATATTTACAAGTAATTGTTATAGATATAATAATTCTTTCAAGATTTCACTTTCCAAAAACGGTTACTACTTTTAATAAATAAAAGATATAGTGATATTTAATCAATACTGAAATTTGATTAACATGTCTTGTTCATGTGGCTGGTAATGGTACTAGTCTACTATTTCTCGTCATTCGACCAGTATATTGAATTCGCATGTGTGATGACTAAGATATAACAATATATAATGATTAGACGATTTTTTCTAACGATGTTTTATTTTATCCTAGTTTTGGTAGTAGGTATATAAAATATACACGAATGATGATTATAATGTATTTTTTTAATTCAATTGGAAATTAATATGAAAAATTGACCAAGTACTTGGATGGCTTAAAACTTCATGGATGTAACGTTTGGAATTTTTGTTGTTTAACGATGGAACCCACTTACTTTGTCCTTTTAGATTCTTTCCCGACAAAGTACAAATCATTCATAGAAGAAAACTTTTTATTACCATTGTTTCCACACAAGATTTACATTTTTACCACTTTTTGATTCTTGTTTATTTAGGGTCCACACGGTGAATCTGAATCATGTGAATAGCATTAACTTTAGATTTTGTTTCTTTTTTTTTCCATTAAGTAATTAGTATTCTAAATTAATTGTTTTTGTAGTTTCCACTAAAGCTTTATGTTGCCATGATTTTGTAGGGAATGATATTATTATCTTTAATGAAATACACTCAAATTGGTGAGAAAATAAACTAGTCAATTATTGTAAAAATTAAAATTCAACTTTTTGTTTAGAAATAAATTTTAAACTTAAAGTTATAACTCATTGGGTGTATAACTAATTAATTTATTTCAATATAATAAATACAATGAATAAATAAATATATAGCTTTTTAATATAATTATAACTATTATTTATTTTATAATTTATTTTATATAATGTTGGCAATTATATGTTCAATAATTATATATATGTTCAATTATGGATATTGATTTTGTGTGGTTTAAAATTTAGAGTTTAAGTCCATTAAGGACGTTAAACAATCCAAAACTAAATTTTGTCCAGAATCACAAACTCTATAAATACGGTTTTATCATCACAAGAAAAAACCCAATCACTCAGTGTTTGCCAAAAAAAAAAAAAGAAAAAAGAAAAAACCCAATCACATGTCTCTGTAAATCGATAGAACTTATGCAAAGAAATTTTTTGTGAAGGTACATCTACATACTCTTCTCCTCTCAATAGAAGTAAAATTCTATTCTTATATTTTAAAATTCTTACCACCTCAATTGTGTAAGCAAGTGCATATATTCTATGAAAAAAGATAGATTTAGTCGTAACAAAACCAAGTTCATACTGTTTTTTGTATTTTTGGGACTTTTGTTAGATATCGAATCTACTTTCTTATTACATAGTTAAATTGCTGACAAAGACCTGATCAAAATGAGTCGGCGAAACTTCTTAACCTTCTCATTGAATAAATCTTGACCCAAAGAAAAGCCTATCAAAAATAATAAATAATAATATATTATTACAAAACCCCTCTACTTTGATTTTCTCTTAATTTCACATACTTTATTTTTTGTTATTTAATTTCACCCTCTAATTTTTAACTTATTGTGTTGTGTTATTTATTAAAGTTCGTTTGTTTATAGCCCTTTATATTGGATTTAATCTCTTGAATAAATGCTTCTAAAAAGTTAGCAACAAAAAATTAGATTCTATTTCATGAAACTAAAAGGGACCAATTTGATATAAAAACAAAATCTAGGGATGTCTTTGTCAAGAAAAGTAAAATGTTGGTTAAGTTCAAAAAAGCCAAAAACATTTTATAAAAAAGCGCAATAAAAAATAAAATAATTTTCTTTTTGGGTCTGTGTAAAAAAGAGATACGTGAGAAAGAGAGAGAGAGAGAGAGAGAATCTTAATTCTTAAAGAAGTCGTGAAGGCTCTCTTCGAGCGATGCGTTGAAGAAGGCGAGTGACCAACAACAATGGCGAAAATATCTTCCTTCTTCTCTTCTTATTCTTCTTCTTCTTCTTATCACGATCCTCATTATAAACCCTAATTTTTTTCACAGTTTTCTCTAACTTCTCCGATCTCCGATTTTCTCTTCTCCGGTATGTTACCGATTGATCTGCATTCCCGATTTTGTCCCTCTGATTGTTTGATTTGTTCTTAATTTAGTTTGTTTTGTATAGAGATGATGACGGAGACAACAACGAAGGTTTTGTATATAGTGGTGCGTGAAGAAGGTGATGATGATGATAATAATGGAGATGATTCGTTTCGTTATACGCGTCCTGTTTTGCAGAGTACTCTTCAGCTTATGGGTTGCAAAGCTCGTCATGCCTGGAAGGTGTGATTTCGATTTTGCATTTTTTTCTTACATCGTTTGAATAACTAAGAGGTTCTGAGCCTAGGCCCGTACATCCCTTTAAGCCAGGGACCAGAGCATTTTATATGGTCTCTTCCCAAGCGACACTCGAAATGATCAATCTTATGAAGATTTGTGAATCTAGTCTGACTTTTTTTTTTGTATTGGTTAGATTAATGATGTGTTTGTATCTAGAAAGGACATAGCTTGATCTCGTAATTTGGAAATTTTGTATACTAGTATTGAGAGCTTGCTGTTGTGGGAATTAATGCACGTCTTTATCGATTTATATTATAGTCTTTCTTGAATTTTGGTAAAGGACAAAACTTTCCTTAAACCCATAGTATATTTCAACATTGGAGTGGTTTATGTTCAGTTCTATTACTTTTCTCTGCAAGTCTGATAGTTATAATCTCCTTTTTTTTGTCTCTGTTGGCAGATTAGCAGAAGGGTTTTTGAGTTAATAAGAAGTGAGGGATCTTGTAATACATCACCAGAGAATGGGAAGGAAACTGAATTTGCTAAGGAAGTTGGTGGTTCAACTTGTGTAGAGAAACTTAACTGTTTGGTTGCTGATGATGTTGATGTTGACAAGAATAAAAGTATACCATTTGAGATGTACAAAAGGCGGACTACTGTTGTTGTTTCACGAGAAATATTCTTGGAAGTTGTGTGTGATGCTCTGGCTGAGTATAAGTACGTTGGTCGCGACCAAAGGGCAGATTTGATTCTGGCATGCAGGTAAATTTCTTCACTTTTGGAATATATCTTTATTTGTTATGTCATAAAAAGCTATGGCATATAGAATCTGCATATGTCTTGTGTTTTATGTCGTAATTTCCTCTTTTAAATGCATTAAATATGTTTTTGTGCCTTTTTAAGATATTCTTTAAGCCTTTGTATGGTTATCTAGTGTATGTATGTGACATAATTAGTAGCCAGACTGTTTTCTATTGATTGATTGGCCAGGAAAGAGATGTGACCATGCACATATATCTCTCTTTATGTTGTCAAAATCGTAGCTGGTCATTCTCTTTCTATATGTCAATTGTTCTCTCACTTTCCTTCTCATGATGGCTTTTCACATTGTTGTATATGGTTTGTGGTTGTCTATGTGTTATATTCTATTTTCCCATGTAGCTTCATACGGCTGTACTTTTTATTTGTTATCCATGCAATCTTATTGTGCATTAGATTTGCTATTTCCCACTCATGTGTTATGTCCTGAAACTGTAGATTTTCTTCTTTTGTTTCACATATCGACTACAAATCTTATTATCGCTTGCAGAATCCGAGAAAGGAAAGAATCTGTAACTGTTTTGCTCTGTGGCACCAGTGGCTGTGGTAAATCTACATTGTCTGCATTGCTGGTAAGTATTCATTCCTTCCGCTTATAGGCTTTAGACTGACACTCAGAAGCTCTATTCTTTGTTTTTTTTGTATACTCAACTCTTAAGCTATGTTACTTATTCACCGTTCTTTAAGAGTGATACTATCCATAAGGTGTATCTGTTTCAATGTGTTCTTAATCAGATGCAATATGCAAAACTGTGTTACAGGGTAGCAGGCTGGGGATTACGACTGTGGTATCAACTGACTCAATAAGGCACATGATGAGGAGCTTTGCTGATGAGAAGCAGAATCCTTTGCTGTGGGCTTCAACATACCATGCTGGAGAGTACCTTGACCCTGTGGCAGTTGCTGAGTCAAAAGCCAAAAGAAAAGCTAAAAAGTTGAAAGGCTCTCGAGGTGTAAATTCCAATACTCAAAAGACGGATGCTGGATCAAACTCTGGCACCACTGAGCTGTTAAGTCATAAGCAGATGGCTATAGAAGGGTATAAGGCTCAAAGTGAGATGGTGATTGACAGTCTCGATAGGCTCATTACAAGTTGGGAGGAGAGGAAAGAGTCGGTAGTCGTTGAAGGGGTCCACTTAAGCCTTAACTTTGTGGTAAGCCTTATCTGTATCTTATTACTCATTGTGATCTAAGGTTTTTCAATCTAACTTTTTCTTTATTTCCATTTTTGCAGATGGGACTGATGAAGAAGCACCCTTCGATTGTTCCCTTCATGGTATACATAGCCAATGAGGAGAAACACTTGGAACGGTTTGCAGTCCGAGCCAAGTACATGACATTGGACCCAACAAAGAATAAGTATGTAAAATATATACGTAACATCAGAACAATACAGGATTATCTATGTAAACGAGCTGACAAACATCTCGTTCCTAAGATAAACAACACAAATGTCGACAAAAGCGTGGCTACAATTCACGCGACGGTCTTTGGTTGCCTGCGTAGACGTGAAACAGGAGAGAAGCTCTATGATACAACCACAAATACCGTTGCTGTTATCGACGACGAGCACAGGAACCAATGTACAGCCAATTCATTAAGTTCCAAGGGAATGTTTCAGCTGATCCAAAGACAAGGCTCCTCTAGGCGTTATATGGCTCTTTGCAATACTGATGGTACTGTGGCCAGAACTTGGCCTGTCGGTTCCGTTGATAAGATCAGGAAGCCCGTTGTTGATACCGAGATGGATAATGGAACAGAGCATCAGCTACATAAAGCTGAACCAGTGAACCTTCAGTTCGGTCACTTTGGGATCAGCGCTTGGCCTAATGATGGCGCAACTAGCCATGCTGGGAGTGTGGATGAATCAAGAGCCGATATTATTGAAACTGGAAGCAGGCATTACTCTTCTTGCTGCAGTTCGCCGCGGACATCTGATGGGCCTTCGAAAGAGGTAAATCTTGCACTAATCAATGTGTAGAAACATAATTTTTTGCATTTTGTGAAGATTGTTTACCATATCCTCCATGCAGCTGATGGAGGAGCAGTCTGTAAATGGGAGCGATGAAGATGAAGAAGGCGACGATGATTTTCCTGAGCCAGATTCTGATGAAGATCTCAGCGATAACAATGATGAACACAACCGTGACGAGGTAACCAAATCTTGATTCGTTGGGAGGATGTTAATGCCATTTATCATGTTTTTAATGTAGCTTTTGGTTAGTTTTAAGACCCTTACATGTACTCTTAAACCAGGTTGGATCGGTGGATGAGGAATCGACAAAGTCAGATGAAGAGTACGATGATCTGGCAATGGAAGACAAGAGTTACTGGACAGACAACGAAGAAGAAGAGTCTCGAGACACAATCTCCATGGTGTCCGAAAACAACCACAACGAGGCTACAAAGCCCAACAAAGATGACAAATACTCCCAAAACCTCGATCTTTTCCTCAGGACAGCGAACCAGCCATTAACTGAATCCCTTGAGCTGTCGAGTGAATACGGGAACAGAATGGGAGTAGCCGCCTCGGATAAAGCCAAGATGAGGAAACGTTCACTTAGTATTCCGGCTGTCGGGAAACATCGATCAATCATAGATGACCAGATTTTGGCTAACCAGACTGATCCAGTTCTCTAGAGTGCCCTGTGACCTCTTTGCCTGTGTTTTTCGGGTTTTTTTTTTTTCCGGTTTTGTGTTTTAACCTATCAGGTAGCTTAGGTTTCCAAACCTCATTGAAGTGTCAAATCAAATTTGCTAATTTCATCCATCTTTCTGCACCATTAATAGTTCTCTTATTTCATCTCTGTATAGGGAACTTGGGCTAATGTTTGGATCTATTTTGGTATTGTGAAACTACTTACCAAAACGATTACTATAAATATAATTTGACTTTTTATGAACTTAAACGAGTTAACTTTCCCAAATCAACTTAAAAGTAAAGTTCAATAAATTATTTTCTTGATGCTTCTCCTAACCTAACCCCTAACAATGATTAGTTTACTTACTCTTATGTTTGTAAGAAATTTTTTCCGATGTTTTTTTGGGAAAATTGGATATCTACTATAAAATTTGTCTATATATCCTTTTTTTTGGTAGATTGGTCATATAGGTTTTTCAAAATTCAAAACCCAAATTTACCCTCATTTTATTTAAATCCATTTTTGGTTTTCTTATATATTTCTTTTAGTAGGCTCCTTATCTCATATTTTTTGTTTACTTCCTTCTCTCACCTTCCAATTTATTTGTTTAATCATCCAACATAAATCACTATTTTAAGATTTTTTGTTCTTCTTCAATCTTCTCACTGCACACCTATTGGCAATCCACTATCAATTAATCGATTTCTTTATAGAAAATTAGGATCTCAGTAGCAAACTAGCAATCGAAACACTTTAAAAATTAAACTATACTTCAAATTGACAATTGTCAGCTTGGTAAATAAGCTCATAATCTCGTTTAGAACAATAAGTTTAAACTTAACAATGCATTTAAATTGTTGCATAACATGCATAACAAATTTTTATTTTTTTCATGCATAACAATTATTATTGCAAACTTATATAAAAATAGAAAGGTGCTTATTGAGATCTCCACTCCTTTTTGTCATACAATCTCCACACACAACTCTTTACATAGTGATGTTCTCTTTAGAGTTTAGACCCTTTGATAAAAATATAAAGCTATTTATTACTTTACACATCATGTAACACATGGTCATCACTGAAATTATAATCGAAATATATTTTCACATTATAACTACCACAATAATTGACAAATAAACAAATTAATGTTTGTTGAAAACGCTTTTGCATAACAACACAGATCATAATGATGATACTATACATAGTGATGTTCGCTTTAGAATCAAAACTCAAATTATTTGTAATGGATGAGAAAAAGATTGCGATGAACTTGAGAAACAAAGACTTCAGCGAAGAAACAAATACTCTAATCTCTTCACTTCCTTCAGAAATGTTGGTATACTCACCGTATTCTCCAAGCTGTCCTCAACTTCCAGAAGTACTTCAAGCCTCAAGACACCGATATCATCGTTGCTTCGTTCCCTAAATGCGGCACAACTTGGCTCAAGGCGCTTACATTCGCAGTCATTTGTAGATCGAAACACCCTTCTCATGATGATCATCATCCTCTTCATTCTGATAATCCACACGTTCTTGTACCCTACCTTGAGATTAATCTCTATTTACATAGCGAAAAGCCGGACCTTACCAAGTTCTCATCATCTTCGAGGCTGTTTTCAACACACATGCCGTCACATACGTTGCAAGAAGGTCTCAAAGATTCCACTTGTAAAGTTGTGTATATATGCAGGAATGTAAAAGACACACTGGTTTCATATTGGCATTTCTTTTGTAAGAAACAAACCGATGATAACGTAATAAGCAGTTTCGAGGATACGTTTGAGATGTTTTGTAGGGGAGTCACCACTTTTGGGCCTTTTTGGGACCAAGTCCTAAGCTACTGGAGAGGAAGCTTGGAAGATCCAAAACATGTGGTGTTTATGAAGTTTGAGGAGATGAAAGCAGAACCTCGTGAGCAGATCAAGAGACTTGCACAGTTCTTAGGTTGTCCTTTTACTAAGGAAGAAGAAGAAGAAAGCGGATCGGTGGATGAGATTATCGATCTTTGTTCTCTACGTAATCTGAGCAGTTTGGAGATCAATAAGACCGGAAAATTGTATAATGGTAGAGATAACAAAACATTTTTCCGTAAGGGAGAAGTAGGTGATTGGAAGAACTATTTGACTCCGGAAATGGAGAACAAAATCGACATGATCATCGAAGAGAAACTGCAAAACTCTCGTTTGAAATTCTAAGTTTGTGTTTTTTCTTTAATTCATTGTAAATTTGTAATAATAAGACTACCTTATGCTGTTTGTTTTTGTGTTCTTTTGATGTAATAATAAGACTACCATATGCTGTTTGTTTTTATGTTCTTTTGATGTAATAATGACTATGATGAATATGTCTTTATGCTTTCATAATTTCATTCAATCGTTCTTACCTTTCTATTTCTACATATTGGCTACTGTCTCGTCTTAGTTCCTACCTTTGTGGAAATAAATTGAAGCCCATCAACCCAGTTATATTGAGGATCATTTTCCTGTTTTTTTTTTTTAGTTTTGGACTTGAATACATAATATTATTAGTAGGGTAATCTTAGAAAGTAGCCAAATTTTGAAGCAAATTAAGTAACTAGGCATGAAACTTTTATTAATTGGAAAATGAATATAGACCCACGTTTCAAAATGAGTGAATTGACAATCCATGCTTTTTGTGTTTTGAGTTGAACAGAAGAAGGGAAAGATTCGGTGGCGAAGACGGAAAAAAGATAATTTTTGTGAGATTTTAGAAAATAGCATGTAACATTTAAATTTAACATGATTATTAAACTGAATAACCTGTTATTTACAAAAACATAATGTGATTTTAAAAAAACATGTTTTTGAAACAAATGAAATGAAAAACGTTTAACATATAAAAATAACGTGTTATATTGAAGTAAATAGCATGTTATACTAAAAGAAAATATGTGTCGTTTAGAAAAATAATGTGTTTTAACATTGAAATCATGCTTTTGAAAGAAATCACATGTGATCTTAATAAATAACGTGCAATACGAAAAAGTAGCATGTTGAAGAGAGATATCTTCAAAAATCCTGTGTAATTCGAAAAAGTAGCGTGTTACAAAAGAGAATAACAGATAATTTAAAAAGAAAACATGACGACGGAAATTCCAAGAAATATTGAAATTTGACGAAATAAAGAGAGAGATCTTCTGCAAATTGAGGCAGAGAGATCCCATCAATATGAAAAGCGTTTGGCAGCCTAGATTTATCGAGAGAGGAAAAGAATGGAGGCATAAAATTTGTCGGAGGATAGTTGTGGATGCAATAATGGAGGTAGAGAAGGAAAGAGAAATCGAAAAGAGAAGAATGAGAAAAAACAAATATTTTTGGGTAATTTCAGCTATCCTTCTGGCAAATCACTATAGCTCATAGTTAATTACTTGATTTTATTTAATTCGAAGGTTAGTTTCTATATATTCTCTTATTAGTTAGATATGAATAATACGATTCAAACAATAGTATCATGCAGACCTGAACAAAGCATCCGAAATATCCAAAATTCTTAAACATCTTTGAAAAGGATTCTAACACCATGCAAAATGTGTCCAAAGAAAAAAAGTGGACCAATCGAAGCATGTCCAAACATAAATCAACCTCTTGGGCTGCTACGAAAAACACCATTAGATTTCAAAATCGCGCGATCTAATTCAAGATCTCACCCAGTTGAGTCTACTAATTTACTTTAATTTTATGTTTTAGTTTTGGATCCCAACTAAACTAATCACACAATATCCTTATTTTTTTTCTCTCTTTTTTGTTTGTACAATTCAGGTATATTAACCAAATTTTTAGATCGAAATACAAGGAATCCTTCCCTAAAAAATTGATTTATTTATCTTATTTAACCGAATTGAATCTGAGACATGTTCGAATTGAACAGAACCGAATAATCATAAAAATTCTATATTACTAGATCTTAAACTTTTATACCCAACATGCAAAATGTGGAAATAAAAACTGATTCAAACTGCTCCGAAAACCTGAATGCTCAGACTTTAGTGGCAATGTGGCATGCATTAAATTGGGTATCTATACCTAGTAACCATAGAAGAATCGATAATTAACTGACACATTTCTACACTTTTTGGCAGTTTACTGTAGTGACAAAAAGACCAATAAACCCCTACAATCATGTTATCTATTAAGAGAGAGATATTAGAGGACAGAAGATGTGTGTGTCAGAAACCAGATATGAGATCTTCACTATGATTTTATTTTTGAGAATTTTTTGGAAATAACAAAGATAATCATGATAGAAACCGAGGAGTATTGTTTCTTGGCTGCTATATCAACCAATTCTTGTTCATTTATCGAGAGATTATTTTCTCGATTTTATATGATTCTCATTTTTTCCGACTACAAATCATCTCTCTCTTTTTCTTTCAATCACCGGTGCTTAAGGGTTAGTGTGTCGGGTCAGTTTCGCTACTTCCATTCCTTTTTCAATCTAAGCATAATCATTTGAGCTTTTTTCGAGTTTCATTGTTTTTGTTTTTTTGCAGATGGAATTTCCTCATCGTCTTATTGCCGCTGGTGAATAACCTCTTGGAGAGAGGGTTAATGTCTATAATAAAATGAAGACTCTGAGATCATCGACTCGTTAGAGAAAGACGAAATTCAGTTAATTAGGGTGTTATCCGGCTATTCGTTTTATGTTTACCAAATTTTGTGTTCTCTTCTTTTGTACCATTGTTATCGGGCAAATATCTGTATGTATAACAATGTCTTTACTTATTATGTAGTTGTTAGATTCGTTTACCATGTGTTCGGGCCACTTGATTTTAGTTGCTAATAACCGTGTTGATTTGCTAACTCATTTGATCTCTAGATAATGTATCTACCCGGTTCTAATCTTGTAACTAGAAATATCTTGGTAACTGATGTTTTTTCTTGGTTACTATTTAGATATATGTTAACGCACAACCCATAACTGTTGCTTTTAACAGATTGCATAACAAACCATATTATTATTATTATTATTATTATTTAGTTGAAAGTTTACCGTGTATTTGGGTAACTTGATTGTAGTTGCTAATTACCGTGTTGGTTCACTAACTCAATTATTAATGTCCTTTCTTATATGACCCCATTAAATTAAGCTTTGGACATTAATTAAGAACTTGCTAGACATTTGATATTTCTAGTAAAAGCACACTTAGTCATCTCATTGGCCAATATGACGGTGGCGACTGAAACCTCCTACTTTAGCATTTATAATTATAAGTGTTATTAATGCCTTTTCTTCTAGCAAGTTCAGGAACAAGTTGTCAAAGTCCTTAGTTTTTTGTCTACTTTTTAAAAAAATAATTTAATCTAATTCACAACTACATTTTTGGAAGAGTTTTGACTTGTGACTTAAAATATGTCCAGAAAGTTGACAAAAGTTTCATTTGTTTTCCTAACAAAGAAAAAAAATTAAAGTAAGAGAGAAAGAGGAACAGAATATGCTTAAGACAGCCTGTATTTTGTGATAAAGATATAGAGGCATGATGATCTGTACGGTAATATAATACTCACATTTTTGAATTTCATTTGATAAGAGCTTCTGACTATCTTCCATTTTCTCCTTTTTTTATTTTGGGTTAAAATTCGAGAAGTTATATCGCCCCACGTATGATCTATGACTCAACCTGATGTATTCATCGTGGGTTCACTTATATGTGCGAGTTTATTCCTAATTTATACACTATTTACATTATTTTTAATTTTGATTACATTAGTCCAGTGGCGTACTAAATTCACAAAAAATGTTATTTTTTTTCATCCATATTGAACGTACCCATTCATGACTATAATAATTATTTTATTACATTTGATTGCTACATTTTATTTTACTACATTTGATTACTATATAAATAATTATTATAAGTCCTGATTGGCAAGTGCTTTAGAGTCTTTACAAAGCAAAAAAATTTCTAAAGATTTGAAATACATCCAATCAAGCTTTAGAATCTTTGGCTTTCCTTTTTTTTCTCACAGCCAAAATATTTCCTTAATTCATTTTTTTGGCTGTAGAAAGCCTTTTTTTCTAAAGCACATAATTTTCAACTTTCCAAAATTTTAAATTCCATAGCCAAAATACTACAGCACTAAAATCTACAGCCACAGCAAATAAACCTACAGTCATATTTCTACAGCAAAAAATGTAAAGCTACAGCTATTACCAATCAGGCCTATAGTCATGATTGCTACATTTACTATAAAATACATTCTTCACATGTTTACCAATATATATATATATATATATATATATATAAACATATTACTAAAAAAAAATATTTTGTAAGAAGAGAAGAAAGAAAAATAATAATCAACTTGATATGTGGTGCCATACGTATCAGAGTTACGTTTTCGTACGGCAATACAAATTACTCTTTGGTAAGGTACACTACATATCTGACATATATATAAGGGACGATTGGTGCAGAGAAAAAAATGGAGAGTGTAATTAGGAAATCGACAAACGTCGATTTTGTCGGAGACGAAAAAAAAAATAACGTTCTAACTTCTAAATGACCCTTGTTTTCAAAAGAATTACAGAAAAACCTGTTGATTTTTTTCTCATGCAAGTGTGAGGGCGCTTTGGCTTTTAGGAGAGAGAAAGATTGAACTGACAAACATTAAATGCTCAGCACGTGAACTGATGCTTACCAAAATAACAATAATTGTTGTTTTTCGAATTGGAGCAATTTTAACACGCTACAAACATATATTCCACCATTTTTACATTTGTACACATGTAACTACATAAGTAGAGCGTTAAAAGTAATTATAGTTTTAAATTATTGGATCTATGTATTCATGTAAATACGTACATATATATATTATAGCGTTATTAACATTTGTATATATGTAAACACGTACATGGAGCGTTATTAACATGTTTATACATATAAACACGTACATGGAGCGTTATTAACATGTTTATACATATACACGTATAGATAGAAAGTTATTAACATTTGTATCACATCTAAACACGTAGATAAAACGTCGTTAACATTTGTATACATAAATCTACTTAGTTTTTTGGATATCCAAAACCTATTGATGTGATTGTTTTGATATTGAGACGTAAGTCGTTTGTCTGACGTAATGGACCATCTCTTACAAAACACTTTAAGCGCGTAGGCTTAATTTTGGGAGAAATTAAAAGTGAGCTAATGTTGTTTTTGTTATGGACTCCGACAAGAAAAAATGAAAAACTAATTAGACCCTAAAACCTTTGTCTTTTGGCCAATTATCTCTATATATAATGGATTGTGAATTTGTGATATTAGCGTAAGTCAAAGTTTGATATTTAATAACTGGGTTATTCCACTTTCTCTCATCAGCTTTCATATTATTATTTTCATATTATCTTTCAATGTAGTATCTGGTTAAATTGTATCCGTTTGTTGTAAGGAGAAAACAAAAGAAGATGAATATAAGAGTATTTTAAAAAAGAAGATGAATATAAGAGTATTTAAAAAAATGAAGCGCAAAAATGTGAAAATAACATAATTATGTGCAAATCCTTTAAGAAAAGATATCAAATGAAATGTCGTCTTTTACTGTTTCATTGATTAAACTAAAGTTCTAATAAACGTAATTAATGAAGAATTTATGAAAGCATGCACTAGTTTTAATAAATATCTTTTCAATGATAATCACATCTGAATTTCAAACAAACTATTTACAATCTTTCTCATATACTGCCAAAAAAAAAAACATATCTACTTTACAAATTGTGTTAATTTATAAGTTTGCAAAGAGCTGTCCGGCCTAAACATAAATAAAACCATTCTACTACGTTAAAAGTACATGAAGAAGTTTTCAGGTTATATATGCGTTATGAAGAAGTATGACAAGTATATCCTTTGAATAGTTGTCACTGAAACATGTGATAAACTAGTGGGGAGAAAATTTTCAATGAATCATTATGCTTATAAAGGCAATATTATTTGAACATAGTTGGGGTAGATATTGGCTTTTGAAAAAAAGGGCGACTAGGTTTTTTGCGTTTCCGCAAGAATGCAGCAGCCGGCGGCTTCTCTGGGCCATCCTGGAAAGGTTTCGGCGCCGGAAAAAAATAATGGTTATAAGAGAAAGTTCTAAATAGTCATAATGTGGGTTTGAGTGGGTCTTAACAGGAAACAGAGCAGGTTTTGAAACTAGCCGAAGGTTCGACGGGTAATAGGTCAGATCTCAGAACACTTGTCAGCAAGGAAAAGGTTTCGACGGTGGTTCGTGCAGCAGGGGTCCCAGAGAAAAAATCATGGGTACAACTCGCTCAGAAACACGTTTTCACTAAACAAAAGTTTGTCGTAGAGGCAGTAGATGGGCAAGAGAGAGTAGTGGTACCGAAAGAGGTTTTTGTTGGAGCGAAACCACTTTGGAAGGATTTTTTGATTGGCAAATTCTTGAGTACGAAAGCACCACATGTGGGGAAGATACATATGATTGTCAATAATATATAGCGATTGGGAGATAAAATGATAACATCGTATTTTAGCCCACTTTTACTATGTTTTAGTTAGGTTTTTCATGGGGAAAACAAGAGATATTAAAGATTTCAAGGATGTTTTCAAGTATTTATGCTCCAAGGATGAATTATGAGCTTTCAAGCAAAAAAGAGTAAAAGTCGATCAAATCCCGTTCCAAGACAGTTTCTGTACCTCAGAAGTATGGCGTCCGTTCGAGGTCTTCCCGGTTACCAAATCAAGAGACCTCGGTGGCTATGGAAAGCTAGAAGAGTCAGAATTCGCCTCGAAGTGGAGTCAGAGCTTTTCATCGAGCCATTCAGAAGTTATGCCCAGAGGAGTGAAGACATGTCCCGGACCGGCCAGACAGCCTTACGCCCGGTCCGGACTCCCTTGGCGCCCCCGGTCGTGGAGCCCGTGCCCGGGCTGCTCTTCACGCCTCACCCCGGTCATACCTAGTTGCAGTGGCGGATACAGAAATTAAATTTACCCGGGGCAACAAAAAAACTAAAAATAACAAAATAAGAACAAAATGTGATTTAGCATAGGGTTATACTGTTATTAAAGAAAAATATGGGCTTATTAACAAAAAGATATAAATAAATTGGGCTTTTGTCTTGTATTTTTATAAAATATACTTTCAATTTTACTATAATTACATAAAAGTATACAATACAAAAGAAAAAACATGTGTTATAAGAAAAAAAAAGAATAACAGGGGCACTAAATCATATTTTAACAGTGGCACAATTAAAAACTATTATAAAATAACACTAATTTTGAAAAATTTACCCGTGGCAATTGCCCCTCCCTATAACTACGTACGTCCGCCCCTACCTAGTCGTGCCCTGTCCAGAAACTCGAGCCTCACTTAACCTAATTTGTGGAAATGACGGTTTTACCCCTTGACCTAATCGAAGCCTATAAATACCGAGATAAGTTGAAGAAACCAAAACGGCCTCTTCACAGTTCCTTCACCGCCTCCTAATCCTAGATCTCGCAGCCTCCATCGACGAGACTCTCAGCTCTCCTAGCTCCACCTCGTCGAAGCTCTTGCCATCGAGAAGTCGTCCTTTGAAGCTCTCTCCTTTGTTCTTCATTGTTTTCTCTTCTACTCTTTCTTTCAAGACTTTTTGGGAGATAAGTATCTTCTGTGACACTAGAGAAGTCTCCTTTGTTTTATTGAATTCGTTTATTATGCTTTTCTACTTCATCTCCATGTCGTTTCTTAGCATCATGAGCGAGTAGTTTTCTTTGTTGGGTTTTATGGGGTGATTCAAAGGGGATTCATGGTTCAAATCATATTAGGTTTATAGATCTATTATTTTGTTCATACTTAGATTCTTTTGGGACATTTTTTACTTAATGCATGTGTTTGGATTGATCACCAAACGCTGATCCAAGAGGTTAGGAGCTCTAATCGGGTAAACCTAATCTCAGACATAGTGTTACCAATCCTTCGTGTTGTTGCCTTTAAGTTGAGTAACAGGACTTAGAGTACTTAGCGAATCCAACCCTAATGCGTCGAACTATGCGTCGTTGCCTGTGTCAGTTGAGTAATGGAGTATAGGGAGATTTGCCGGCTTATTCTATAACCTAGGATAACTCGTTCATTCGCCTTTCGTAGTTATGAACTAGAACGAAAACATAAAAACCCTAGAGATCTAAACCCTAGTTAGTCGAGAACCATGATCCCCGGAGAAACCCTAGAATGCCCAACGCCTTAGTCTCATTAGTTTAAAACCGTTAATCATCTTAGCTCTCATTAGTTTATTTATCCTTCATTTATTTGCTTTCTTATTTCATTGCATTAGTCATTAGGAAACCCAAAACCAAACTCCCAAAGTTTAGTTTTGTCTTAGCTAAATCTTCTTGTTTGAATTCAATAACCCGTAGCTACACTCTCTGTGGGATCGATCCTTAAATACTACTATGATTACTGTGCACTTGTAGTTTAACGTGTAGTCTTTCAGGTAAAAGTTCTGAAGTGAAATTCTACACACACCATAAAACAAAGTTGATAGATGTGTTTGAAGTGAATGAAACTACAATGAAGTTTAGGATTCAAAATGAGGGTATGATGAATGGATATATCATAGAATTCTTAATAGAGACATGTGGAATATCATGGATATACTAATGGTTGTCTCAAAATGGACCCCTTTTGCGGAGGAAGCGCAACCTGCAATGAAATCAATTCAACTTTAGGTCACCCAATCAGATGTCCCCTCATCAATGTTCACAGATAAGGGACTTGAATTCCTATCTAGTGCAGTGGGAAGACCAATAAGGTTACACCCAAAAGAAGACACATGTGTGAGTTTTGATGAAGCTCAAATTCTAGTGGAAGTAGATTTAACAAAAGATCTCCCAAAAGAGTATGTAATCATGGGTGAGGAGGAAGGAAAGCTTGATGCAGTGATCAAATATTCATACCCGTGGTTACCACCACGATTCACCTGTTGTGAGAAATCTGAGAGATTCTTGCTTTGCTGAAGCAAAAAAGATAGCCCAAGATGCACAAAAATTAGTTGTAAGCTCTATTACTGAAATAGAGTTGGTGAAACAAGTCTCGACTCTTGAGCCGGATAACAAAAATGAAGCCGGGGAATAAGATTTAGCACTTAACTCTAAAGAAGTTAATACTGGTAAAGTTGCTAGTCCTGGAGATGGTGAAGAGCAGGGTGGTGATGATCAGGGTTGGATCACGCCTCCAAGGATAAGTCGCAGCCCAAGCAAGAGATCAGAGGGTCCCAAATATGGGGAGGCCTCCATTCTATCTAACACCTACTCGGCATTAAGTATGGTGGATGAAGTGAGGGTAGAGGCAAAGGATGAAGAGGAGGTGGGTGAGGAGGTAGAACTTCCAACCACACAGGCTCCTCAGGGGAAGGTGCAAAAATCAGATCATGTGGTGTCGTCTAGGGGAGCAAACTTGCCCCTGAGACAGTCTCTCTTCCAAGAGGCTCTAAAATAGCTCATAAAATGGTCTCAGTTTCTACTACTTTATCGGCTAGGATTATTCCTAAAGATTAGAGTAAGAGAACCTTTCCAAAGCATCATTAATGTCAGGTTTTTTTCAGAATGTTCGCGGCTTAAACAAATCAACAAAATATTCCGTCATAAAGAAATGAGTGGAGGAAAAAAAATTTTAGTTTGGTTGTCTACTAGAGACAAGAGTACAAGAGAATAAGATGCAGAAGTTGGGTTGTAAACTATTTAAGGATTGGTATGTTTTGATGAATTACGAACATAATCGACGTGGTCGTATTTGGGTAGTATGGCGTAATAATGCAAGGCTAAGTCCGTTTTAAAAGTGGTCAAATAATAAAATGCTCAGTGAAGTTGGAGGATCAAAAGAAGGAATTCATTTGCTCTTTTATCTATGCATCGAATCTTGCTATAGAACGGAAATGTTTATGGAGTGAATTAAGAGATTATTTTGACACTCAAATCATTCGCAATAAGCCTTGGATAATTTTTAGAGACTTTAATGAGATATTGGATTTGGAAGAGCACTTGCGTGGGGATGACAACCTACCGATTACACCTGGTGAATTATTGTAATCTCACAGACCTATTTTCTCACGGTCCACTTTACACTTGAAGTAACAGGTAAAAAAATGATTTGATTCTGAAAAAATTAGATAGGGTCTTGTTGAATGATAAATAGAAGCAGTTGTTTCCGCAATCTTACAATGTTTTTGAGGCGGGAAGGTGCTAAGATCATTTGAGATGCAAGATTAATCTCAATACCGAAGCTGGTGAACGTGTAAAGGGGAAAAACTTTTAAAATTTATCAATGTCGAAGCAGAAATGCAAGAGTTCAAGCCAATGATCGATCATTACTGGTCTAAAACAGAGCCCATCTATATGTCAACTTCTTCCATGTTCCAGTTTACAAAAAAGTTAAAGGCACTTAAACCAATTCAAGCATTTAGCAAAGGAAAAAATGGGTAACCTGGTAAAGAAAACAAAGGAGGCGTATGATACGCTATGCCAAAAGCAAGAGGCGAATTTGAAGAATCCTTCTCTACAAGCCATGGAAGAGGAAACAGATGTTTATGATAAATGGGATCGAATGGCAGGAATAGAAGAAAATTACTTGAAGCAAAAATCGAAACTCCAGTGGATGCAGGTTGGAGATAAAAATAACAAAACTTTTCATCAAGCTGTAATGACTAGAGTAGCATAACTCCATTAGAGATATCTAAAGACAAGATGGTAGTGTCACAGAGAAAAGGGAGGAGATAAAAGAAGAGGCTAAAAGATTTTTTCGAGAGTTTTTACAGATGATTTCAAATGATTATGAGGTACCTTGGACTCCCAACTAGTCACTAAGCGTCTCACGTCAAATGACTATAGTCTGCTTCTCGAACAGATAAGGATAAAAATAGGGACCTGGACAGCACGATACCTCTCCTACGCAGGCCGCCTAAACTTGATCAGTTCTGTTATATGGAGTATCTGGAACTTCTGGCTTGCTGCTTTCAGACTCTCCCAGAAATGTATAAAAGAGTTTGATAGGCTTTGTTCTGCTTTTATCTGGTCTGTAACTTAATTCCAAAAAAAAGAATATCACTTGGGATGCAAGATGTAAACCGAAAAGAGAAGGGGATCTTGGTTTAAGATCACTTCAGGAGGCCAACGACGTTTGCTGTTTGGAAATTAATATGGAGACTGGTTTCTCACGGAGACTCGCTGTGGGTGAAGTGGATAGAGACATACTTTCTAAAGAAAGACACTTTCTGGTCGGTTAACTATCAAGGTTCCTGGATGTGGCGAAAACTGTTAAAGTATAGAGATATGGCGAAAAGTTTCTGCAAAGTTGAAGTAAACAATGGGGTTGACACATCTTTTTGGTTTGACGACTGGTCTAGCATGGGACGTTTGATCGAAGTTGCAGGGGTTCGGGGACAAATTGACGTGGGAATAAGTAAATACAAGACAATGGCTGAGGCTTGGGAGGTCTTCAACAGCAATGACACCGACGCGGGACCACTTATTTTTTACATGTGATTTTGCCTTAGCAGTATGGTACGACTTAGCAAAGAATGTCTACGGTACAAGGTACTCCACAAACTAGCATGATCAGATTGTTTCCATATCCGGTAATTGGAGGACTCGAATCAAAAGTTTCATTGCGCGGTATATCTTTCAAGCAACGACACACACCATTTGGCGGGAGAAGAATGGGAGGAAGCATGGCGAGAAACCGAATTCCACAGCTCTCCTAATCACATGGATAGACAAACAACTTCGGAATCAACTGTCATCCATTCGAGCAAGTGGTGATAGGCGATATGATAAAGGTCTTCAAACTTAGTTCGCGTTAATAAGCTGATTACTTCAAAAAATCTCGGTTTTAATGTATTAAAGTCTTTATCAAACTAATATTGCACTTATTGTAAAAACGATAATTTTCTTTTAAATTTAATTTAACATTATATTCAAAATAAAAAATATTTGAACAGAGTTTTGAGGTTAAATGTTTACAATTAATATTTAAATCACCGTCAGGTTGCATGGTTTCTGCCAAACTGAAAAGACAATATAATTAATAGGTCTGGTCGAATGAAGGTGAGTAATTCGAGTGAATCGATGCCTCATATTCTATTCATTCAATTAGCATAAAATCTTCTGATTTATAAAATTTTTAGTCTCATTGCTGAATTTCGTACTATCTTTACATATACTCGCAAGAATTATCTACTTTGTTTCACAAAAAAATTCATCATGATTTATCACGTCTATGTTAAGAGTTAGTTTGATCACTAGGTAAATCTATTTCGAATGGGTTTTTTGCAAAAAAAAACTTTCAAACTCACTAATTTTTACAACTTTTTCCTTCATTTTCAAAAGTGCAGATTAATTCTACCAAGTCAAAAATAATATGCAGTCAAAAATAATATGTATAACCCTTATACATTTATTGAAAACTTTTTCAGAGTCGCATACATTAAAGTTTTAAAATTCTAAAGGTAGAGTCGAATTTCACAAACTCGATAGTAACAAAAATAGTTATATTGCGTATTATTTTTGACTTTGTATGATTAATTTGTATTTTTTAGAAATAAAGGGTAAAGTTGTAAAAACTTGCGAATTGATGGGTTTTTTTTTGCACAAAACTCATTTCGAATTGAATAACTTTAATCATGAATCATTTTCGTTAGATTATAGAAAAAAAAAAGTCTAGAGACTAGAAAAATATTATAGATTTGACAAAAAAAAAACAATTCTATAAGCTTATTTTGTACAATACGTCTGACACGGGATGACAACATTTGTTGTGTCGTCGTGAGGTCTACCAAGTTGCAATTATAAAATTTAATCAACCGATGGACAGCGTGAAACATAAACATATACTATATATATTATATAACCCGATATTGTCAACGACAATTACATTATTTACTCTTGTTCGTAAATTGGATATTCCTTATAGTTATATTGGCAATGCCAATTTGGCATCCAAGAAAGTTAGATTTTGTTTCTACTTCTTCCAAATATTTTGACATTCATGCCATGCACACAAAGGCAAATACCCTATGCATAAGTACAATGTTATAAAAATGGTGAATTAGTCAATTTATCCGTCACAGTCGATATGATTGGGCTTGCTTTAACGATTTATCGACCAATCATCTAATTAACTCAATCAATCTTTTAACTAAACATTTCTAGAACCTTGGATTTTACTTTAGAGCCAAAAATATAAGTCGTTATAAAAGGAAACTTATTTATAAATTAATCAAATAAAATATGAAATAATCCTATTTTACCAAATCTTCCATCAAATGATTTTTTATTGTCTCAAACGAATATGCGACAACTTCTACGTTTTATATATATGGTAAGAAAAGTAAAGTCGGCAAACATAGAAAACCAAAAGCAAAGGCGTGAGAAGAACAAGAAGCACGTCGTCCCCTAATTAAGAAGAAAGACTCTTCTTCTCCCACTTCTTGCATGGGAACAACAATGGCTTACCAAAATGAAGAAGAAGGCTCTATTGGGACCTCCATGCATGGAGTTACGGCGAGGGAACAAGTCTTCTCCTTCTCTGTCCACGGCGAAGCTGACCATTCGTCTCAAGTCGTCCGATCGAATGATCCAACGGCTAAGTTTTCCTTGCCGGTAGACTCAGAACATAGAGCAAAAGTGTTCAAACCATTTTCATTCGCCAAACCACACATGAGAGCTTTCCACTTAGGATGGATCTCTTTCTTCACTTGCTTCATCTCCACTTTTGCCGCCGCACCTCTCGTTCCCATCATTAGAGATAACCTCGATTTGACCAAAAACGATATTGGAAACGCCGGAGTCGCCTCGGTTTCCGGCGCCATTTTCTCTAGGCTCGCTATGGGAGCTGTTTGTGACTTGCTCGGGGCTAGGTACTTATAATTTCTTATAACTATATATGCGAATGTGTTTACTAGTGAAATTATCTTGACTATATGGACTTAACGAACGTAAGTGTTGTCAAATAATTTGATACCAAAAAAAAAAAAAAAGTGTTGTCAAATAAAATTTGGAAACTTTGGACCAACATACGTATTATATCTAAGATTCATCTCTATAAAACATTTTGTATTTTCGTGTATCATATCATAGGGAAAAATTCTCTTTTTCTTAATGATAATCGTGATCTAGATCATCTTTTTGACGTGAAACTTAATCGATCACTTAATTAATGTTCATTTTTGAAACAGATACGGAACGGCGTTTTTGCTGATGTTATCAGCTCCAACAGTGTTTAGCATGTCTTTTGTGGCTAACGCTGGTGGCTACTTAGCCGTCCGGTTCATGATTGGTTTTTGTCTAGCAACGTTCGTGTCATGTCAGTATTGGACAAGCGTGATGTTCAACGGCAAGATCATCGGACTTGTCAACGGATGTGCCGGAGGGTGGGGAGATATGGGAGGAGGCGTGACTCAGCTACTCATGCCAATGGTCTTCCACGTCATCAAACTCGCCGGAGCCAGTCCCTTTGTGGCGTGGA